CTGTGAACTCCCGTGATGCGTGGGAGCAGTTGGTTAGAATTACTAACGTGCGCAAGCCGGGCAGTCGAGTGTGGTGCATTTACGGGCTGCAGTTTGTAATCCTGTATTCCGTTGAACGAGGACGGGAAGATGCCTTCGCACGGATGGGTCAGCCATCATGACTACGGCTACCGGCTCTACGCTGCAAGGTGCACAGTGTGGGACTAGCACTTGGCGACCTGTTTTGTATGTGTGACGTCACCAATACCTGCTGCAAACTGTTAAGGAACAGTGCAAAATTGGTCTCGGCTCCAGCCGAAAACACAGACTTCCCCTTATATCACGAACACTTGAGACAAGTTCTCCCAGGTCCATCGCACTGGATCCATAGCCCAATGTCGGGATCCATGTATCGGAGACGTTCTTTTGTTCTAGAAAAAAGGCATCAAGAGATGGCGACTCACTTCTCACAGCGATTGTCTAAGATCCAGATGCACACGCCTGAGAGGTTGATGCAGTGTCTTGAGCAACCCTTGTCACAGTCACAGGACTCGCAATTTCTGGTTGATCATCCCACTGGAGGATATAACATTTTCTCACCTTCCACGAGTCTTCCTCCCACCACAAGAGGTGCAGTCGACAACAAACATGGCCCTCAATGCCATGCTCTTTGCCCAATCCCGTTTGTCAAAAGGCAGGCGAGTTCGAACCTGGAGTAGCACCGGGATGCACACTCGCTTATCTCGCACGCTGAACGGAATTAAGGTTGATTGAGTGAGAATGTTGCTGTGGGACGGCAGATCAATATCCTCACGTTCCATCTCGTCAGTCCTTTTGCTAGCGCCATGTCGAGCAAGAGCGACGGGCAGCAAGCATTGGACATGACACGCGCGGCTTGGGCCGAGTAGTTCAGGAAACCGTTACTAGTCCATGTAGTATTCCCGGAGAATAAATTGTCACCTGGGCTTGTTCTGACAGCCAACGATTTCACACTTCCCACACCGTTTTAGGTTGGGGTAAGAATGACAGTAGCTTGGCCATGCTCCTGCTGGCGCGGGTCGAAAACGGAGAAACACCGACTCGGGAGTCGGCGGCGGACATGCAGTTGGGGGGTTCCATGAATGGTTGGGCAAGTCGTCCAGCGTCTTGTCTGTCTGTTGGGGACAGCTTCCTGAGACCCTTCTGTCTTACAAAACATTACCGCCTTTTCCTCTCTTCTTTCCTCCCCTTCTCCTTCCATTTTTCTTCTTTCATCCTTCCTGGATCCTGGATCAAACATCGCCCTCAGTCTCAGACAGGGGCACTACCTGCTTGACACCAGCGGTGAGCGAGGTCCAGGGCGACTGAGCTCATTAAATCCGGCCTGTCCTGCCGTCCAAGTAAGACCCTTTGACCGGCCCCTTGACGCCGCCTTCCGGCAGATTACCTACCGTATACGCAGGCCGCAGACAGAACATAAGCCGGTACCAAACTCTTCGGCAGGTACGCATTAGGAGGCATTCCGACCGGACCACTTCATAATCATATGCCTCCTAACCGTCCCCCACATTCCGCGGCTCACATTCCACTCCTATTTATTCACCGGTGCCAACGAACCCCTCTACACAACCTCGGTCAACTCCTACATCCTACAACTCTAGCCGATCTCTGACCTCACCAAGCACTCTCCTTTTCCGGTTCAGATTGCCAACCTAATATTACCTCCCTCAATCAACTCCAGTGTGTATCACCTTTAAACATACAATCATCATTCATCATATTCATGGCAGCCGTCAAGATGGGCGACGCCGCGGACAACAGCGTCCCTGCTACTACTACCACCCACCCCGAGACATCCAATACCTTGACTCCGGAATTCGTCCCCAAGCCCGTGTCCGACCTTCCCCAATTGCACCGCTACATCACCGGACATGATGCCGACGGACAAGCCATCGTCCACTCGCACAATGACTTCCTCTGGCAGCCGATGGACAACGATCAACTCGCCTTTTCTGTTCCCTACACAACCTCGGCGTTCCCCGTCAACCTGAACAACGACGCCGATATCAAGGAGCACCACCGTGTCGTCAACAGCGGCACCCTCGGACTCGTCCACCCCAAGGGCACCGTCATTCGCTGCGTCGACTTTGCGCCCGGCTACGCCTGCGGCATGCACCGCACCCAGAGTCTCGACTATGGCATCGTTCTCGAGGGTGAGGTCGACATGGTCCTCGACAGCGGCGAGCGCCACCACATGAAGCGAGGTGATGTTGCCGTCCAGAGAGCTACCCAGCACCAGTGGGTCAATAGGAGCGATACCCATTGGGCGAGGATGATGTTTGTTCTGCAGGACTGCGAGACACTGATTGTTGGCGGCAAGGAGATGAAGGAGGACCTGGGAACCAACTCGGGACTGCCCCCTAGTGGAAATTGCTAGGCGACTCATCGACTTGAGGGAGGCAGGCCGATTGATATCCGTCGGCGGACCAAGACCAAGGTGGAGGTGCCAGCAGGCCCATTGGAGGGCGCCGTGTGGGACATTATGAGGCCTCAACTGAAGAAAGCCAAGGGCTGGGAAGACCACGACTGGCGTCGCTAGACGGTAGGCTTATCTCGATGCCTTGTTATCATTATCTCCGCACCTTAGTATGCGTTCTGAGATATTGAATTTGGCACCCGCCGTTTTTTGGGAGGCCTTCTCACATCAATATATATGCGTCCAAGATGTGAACACCATGCGTGACCGTATAGCATGTAATCCCCTAGAACTATTCTCTACTTGCTGTGTCGAAGATGTTCAGAAAGGACACGACTTGAGTATCCATTTATCTTGTCAATATGTTGAGGACTGATGGGAAATGTTGAACTCCCTTTTTGAGCCTTCGCATGGAGACTAGTGCACCCCAACATGATGAATCGGGATGTTTATATATTCTTTGCATCGACGGGATGATTGGTAATCATCCCGGATATCTTTTATCTCATGCCTTGCCGAGGTTCGGAGGTTGTGAAAGTATTTGCCAGGTGGCTTTAATCAGACATGACTGCTTGAACTTCTTGTTTGGAGATGAATACCTAAGTAACGATATGAAGTCGCAGTTCTTGTTGTGATGTTGTATCTCGTGGAGTAGCCAGCATCAGATTCCACTACTCTCATGAAGCGATTGGGCAGAGGTGAAAGAGACTGGTATCGATTAGACACATCTTCACGAGTCCGATGACCGAGTCTTGGCGCTCAGAGCCATGCAAGAGATTCCACTCGGATGCGACCCATCGAATCCCTTATACTCACTCGCCTCTAACCTGTTTCATCGGGTTGAGACTCGAGAGTCCGAGAATCTGGACTCGTGGCCAATCAAATGAGATCAAGCTGCCAGCTAGCAACTTGTTGTGACCTTACGATTAGCTTGTGTGACTCCTCCATCGTAAAGCACCTTGCATGCAAAGAGGAGCTTACCCAATTCCCGAGAAGATATATCTATATATATTTAATATCAGGCTCCCTCACCGCAGGCCTTTCCCAAGTCACTACATCTCTGTGTTTGCCACCTCTGACCAGCCTCCACCATCATTCAGCATCAACACCACACCCCACGACCATCTGAACAAAATGGCAGACTCCGAACCGGCTCCACCGGCCCTCAAGACCTACCGCGGAAACTGCCATTGCGGCTTATTCGTCTACGAAGCCCAGCTCCCCGAGATCAAGTCCGTAGCAGAGTGCAACTGCAGTCTGTGCTACAAAAAGGGCTACCTATGGGTCTTCCCTGGAGCGGGAGACTTCAAGGTCGTGAAAGGCAGCGAAGATGACTTGACAACGTATACCTTGGGTGGAGCGGCTACTACGCTTCATAGGGTATGTAACTCTCTCTCAGTTATTTCCGTGTTTGGTTGAGAATTTCTAACTGGCGTGTTGTGCGTAACTTTTTAGTTCTGTCCTACCTGTGGGACCCCCGTCATGGCATTTCGACCGGGCAGTCCGCCGGGCAAGCAAGTCGGGTTGAATGTGAGTTGGTTGCTCTTTTCCGTGTGGATATCGGTGTGAGTGAGTGGTTGGTAACCGGAAACCTTTACCAAAATACAGGCACATGCAATCCAGGATTTGAATACATGGGATCTTACGATAATTCCGTAAGTGGTGCCTTCCTCGTCTCAATTTCTGTCCACGCTCTTCCAGGATCTTGACTGCCGACCAACTATTACGCTTGTCCAAACAGCGGAAAGAAAATTCTGGCTAACCTTCGGTCGGGAAACAGCTTCGACGGTCGAGCCCTCCCCCCAGCATGGGAAGAACCAAAATACACCGGCCCAGAACCGCCCGTGAGCGAAGACGCACCTGCCGACAAGTCCAAGATCTACGCCGGAAGCTGCCACTGCGGCGCCGTAACCCTCGCAGTGCGAAGCATCCCGCTAGATAACACCTACCCGCAGTGGGTAAAAGTCTGCAGCTGCAGTATCTGTGAGCGTGTAAGTAACACCCTAACGGTCCTAACCTAACCAACTAAAACCAGTACCTGACAAATGTGGAAATACGTGTTAGATGGGCGCAACCTGGATCTACCCCAAAGCCTCGCAAGTCATCATCAACGGACTCGAAAACTGCACCAAATACCTCTTTGGGCGCAAGATCGTGGCCAAGGCGTTTTGCAAGACTTGCGGGGTGTGTATCTGCAATATGGCGGCTGACTTGTCGCCCGAGGAATATGAAGCCCTCAGCGACGAGTATAAAGGCTGGGTCAAGACTTCAAGTGAGTTTTGTGTGCTGAATCTGAGGGTCTTGAATGGTTGGGATTTGGGCGAGATTAAAGACAAGATTGAGCGGTTTACGGGGGGTGCTGAGGTTGAGCCTAGGTATGTCAATCCTTAGGAGGAATCTTAGGATAGAGAGGAGAGGAGGTCATGTTTTGCTTGCTGGGTTGGGTGGGAAGAAAGGGAGGCAAAATTGAATCAAACAAACATATCAAATGGTTGTTCAAGTTTGGTTACTGAGATAGAGATGATAATGTAAAGTACAAAAGAGCAAAAAAAAGAAAAAAAAGAGATGCCCAATAACAGGATTGAACTGTTGACCTTCGCATGACTATATAGAATACCGTATTGGTATTGTATTAGTACGACGCTCTAACCAGCTGAGCTAATCGGGCGAGCTATTCCGGTTGTGGAGGAAGGCGCGACCCTCACTCCCTACCAGCCTGGGTCGCTTCTTCCTCTTTGACTTTTGTATGTAGGTGGGTCGGTATATACTTTAGTAGAAAGCTTATTCAGAATTTGTGTTCTTTTATGCCGATGTTACAACTTACCCCGAGAAAGCGTTACGAAATGGGTGATATAATAATGAGTTACGTACTCCTAAAAACAAAGTGCCTCCCTCTAAGGTTTCGTTTCATCATAAACTGGATTGTGTAGAAGTCGTCGTGTGAAGGCCACGGGGATCGGAACATCGGGGCAGCGTCATACCGTTAGAGGAGCCCCTAGCTGGATCTAAAATTGGGCGGGGGTGTGAAAATAATACGACCACCATTTTCAAGGACAACATAGGCCTTAGAATAAATTGCTGTACGTCTTGTAAATCGATTCTGACGGCCATTTGTGCTTCTCTTTAATGCGTTATTTTAGACCATTCGACACATCTAAGACATCAATTATACATGTATAATCAGATTTTTAAAGGCGTCTGTAACCCGCAAACCATTTCACACCCCATCTTTCGAACAAATTTAGCCCCACACCCCCGAACAAGGGCCAGGGGCGTTTGGTGGCTTGCCAGGTGCTGGAGTCAAAAAAGATCCACGGTCATCCACTGCAGCTCCAAAGCTCCGTCGTCACCACAGCTTGTCCCTGCTTCACACCCATCATTCGACACAACTGGAATCCGAATCGCCAACATGGCGCTCTCAACAGCAACACATCGCGTCCTCGTCAGAGGCGCACAATCAACGATACGAACATTTCTACTCACCAGCACAGCACGAAGAGCCCTCCCAGCTCTCTTAACAGCCTCCGCCTCCCAAATCCGCTCCCTCCAGACGACAAAACGCAATGCCCTCCCGGCTAACCCGTACAGCGGCGGCGCTTTGCCAACATATTTTCACAAGCCATCCCTCCCAGCCAACACGATAATTCGCTTCGTGCCACAACAAACGGCCTGGATCGTGGAGCGCATGGGAAAGTTTAACCGAATTCTCCAGCCCGGTCTCGCCATTCTGGTGCCCTTTCTCGACCGGATCGCCTATGTTAAGTCGCTCAAGGAAGTCGCTCTCGAGATTCCCTCCCAGAGTGCCATCACGGCCGACAATGTCACGCTCGAGCTGGACGGTGTCCTCTACACTCGCGTCTTTGACGCCTACAAAGCCAGGTTACTTGCCCAAATCCCCCTCCATGTCCTCCTAGCCCGATTACTAACCCGTCTTCTCGTGTGTTAGTTATGGCGTAGAAGATGCAGAATACGCAATATCCCAACTAGCCCAAACAACAATGCGCTCCGAAATAGGCCAACTCACGCTCGACCACGTGCTCAAAGAGCGCGCAGCCCTAAACATCAACATCACAGCCGCCATCAACGAAGCAGCCCAAGCATGGGGCGTCACCTGCCTCCGTTACGAGATCCGCGATATCCACGCCCCGAAACCCGTCGTAGAAGCTATGCATCGCATGGTCACGGCCGAGCGGTCCAAGCGCGCCGAGATCCTCGAGTCAGAAGGTCAACGACAATCTGCTATCAATATCGCCGAGGGTAAGAAGCAGAGTGTCATTCTCGCTTCCGAGGCTATGAAGGCCGAGCAGATCAACCGCGCTAGTGGTGAGGCGCAGGCTATTCTGGTCAAGGCGAATGCCACGGCTGAGGGGCTTGCTGCTGTAGCCAAGTCTATCAAGGCTGGAGAGGAGGCGGCGCAGAACGCGATCAGCTTGAGTGTGGCGGAGAAGTACGTCGATGCATTTGGGAAGCTGGCCAAGGAGGGCACCGCGGTGGTTGTGCCGGGGAATGTGGGTGATATCAGTGGCATGATTGCTAGTGCGCTGAGTGTCTATGGGAGCGTGGGCGATGCGCAGGGCAAAGTCGCTGCGAGACGGTTGTTGGAGAAGCAAGGTGTGGTGGATGCCGAGGCTAGAAACGAGGGCAAGTCGGCGTCGGAGATCGCCAGGAATGATATTGTGGCTGATTTTGACAAGGCTGCTGCTGGGAAGAATTAGAATGGCAGCGACAAGTAGGGGATCCCACTACTCACTCACAGTGTACTTTTACATAGACTAGCTGTAACATCACTCTACACCAAGAAGCGATATACCTGACAGAAGCCGGGGCTCTGTTTACTTTCTCTGACTGTTCAGTCAAGGTATCCAGTCTGGCTCAGCTAAGGCATCTATGCCATGGCCACCAGTCAAGACCTATTCCAACCTCTTCAAGGTATTTTCTTCTAGCCACTCGAGCATCTATTCCAGTCCAGTCAAGGCATTTATTGCAGCTAGATACTCAGCGGCACCGATTTACATGGCCAGTTAATGGCATCTATTCTAGCCGGTCAAGGCATCATATATACTAGCCCAGGTGCAACAAATTGTAAAAGTAAATTGTACTAGTTTTGCCATGTATAATCCTAACCCTTGTATGAGTTGAGTAGGTAGTCCCTGTTTATCAGGCCCCTTCCTTGCTTGGCTGTTCTGGACAGAAATTTAGAAAACACAGCAAGCAAGCCATCGCGAGGAACCACAAGAAAGAACGCAAAGGACTGGTTGGGTTGTCTTGATAGTAATAAAATGACTATACTACTACAACCACGCCATGAATCGGCTTTTCTTTTTCTCGCAGCCGAGCAACAATAACATAGCCACGCCGATGCTCCGTCCAAAAGACAACCATATCCATCTACTACGGTAGTAATATTCACGCAAGCAGTGAGTGAACCTAAACACCCAACTCGCCACCAACAACATCCAACGCCTCCCTAACCAACCCAAGCACTTTATCATCCCCCTCCGTCCCAGCAACCTGCACTGCCCCCACAAGCAACGGGTACAACCTAAGCAGATGCTTCCTCGACTCGCTATCGACATTCGGTGTGTCGGGGATAGCCTCCGACTCAGACTTTAAATCTACCAACGCTCTCAGAATCCTACCAAGTTCCCTCCGCTGAGGCAGAGGCTGGGGCATCCTCCCCCTGAGCGGCTGGTCTGCTACATACGCTCGGAGGGAAAGCGCACAGCGGAGGATCAGATACGGTGCTGCGGTACGTGCTAGTCGGACGTGCAAATCATGGACTTGCTCTGTCGTGGGGCATGTAACCTCCTCGTTGCTTGTAGACCCGAATTTGGGCGGTAATGACTGCGGAGGAGGGAAAGCCGGGGTCGGCGGTTGGATTTGGATTGATGGGGTGGATACCTCGTCGTGGGCCGAGACCAAGGAGAACAGCTCGTCAAGACACACGTAGCTCATGAGACTTCGCTTTGTCGGGGGAGGATCAATTGTTCGTCCTGTTCGCTGCTTGTAGAGAGAGCTCAGGGCCGCTACGTCGCTGCCACCGCCGTATATGGCAGCTGCTTCGGCCGGTGGTGGGGCGTGCATGATTGACGTGCGGAAGAGACCCTCGGCGTAGGCCTTCCTGGTCTTGTCGGGAATAGCCTCGGCGCCGAGGTGTGGTATGATCAGCTCCCGCAGTTTGTGAAAGGAGGCAATGTCAAAGTCTTGATCGTCCATGATATTGGTCCCGGACGGCGCATCGTCACAGTTGGCGCTGATGATGCCGTTGGCGAGGGCGATGATAATCTGCCATATTTCCTGGACTATCTCCCGCGACAACTCGATCCGACGCGTATGTGCCAAGGTCGCTTCCAGCACTGCCAGCGCGGAAATGGTCGCTTGCCTCCATGGCTGAGCCGCCTTGGTCACCAATTTGAACTGGTACTTGAGTGTGACAGGTTGTGTCAGGGCGGCCAGGGCAGTGGCGAACGCCTGCGTCTTGTAAACATCGGCGTCGGCGGCACTCTTGATGACCAGCTCCTGCAAGATGGACATGCTCTCCTTGGACATGGCAACATATGTCCGCTTCTCGGCGGCGCCTTTAGTCGCGTCTCTTGGTGCAAAGGCGAGCGAAACGAATTCGGCAACTTGGGTGATCATGGCCGAGGGCACGCCCTGCAGATCGGTGCGCACCATTCGAAAGACCTGGAGAATTCTTCCCTGCAGCGGTGTTACATGATCGATATCGCTTGAGTATGCTCCCGGTGTGGCGTGCTGCATCGCGCTACGTAGCAACGTGAGCATGCGGCGGACTCTCTCTACCCCAAATGTGTTCTGAATCAGGCCGTACAGTTCCAATAACGACTCGACCCAGACCAAAAGACACTTCTGATTGTCTGTAGACGCATCGTCTTTCCCATCGCGAGATAGCGGTATTCCGCGAGACCACAGGTCCCAGGCAAGATCCAAGCTGCTCGGTCCAACCTTTGTGCTGTCGTTCTCGGCGCAGCTGCGCAGAATATCACGGACCGCACCGTAGACTGCTGCGTTGATATCCAGGGCCAAGACATCGAGCATGGTGGCAAAATGATTTAGCAAGTCTTCCCAGATTGTGGAAAACGTCTGATGAGTGACCGGGACACTGAGGTATGTCGAAAAGAGTTGGGCAACGCCCTGGATGACGACGATAGCGGTTTCATTCCAGTCGGTCGACACCTTCTCCCTGGACGAGTCCTTGACGACCTTGAGTTCCTTCTCAATCGACGACAACAGTCTGAAAATGACAGATTTAATGCAGACAGACCATGCCTCGGGATCCAGACTGTCCCCGTACGCGGATATTATGCGCATAAGGGTTTGAATCGCACCTAACAAGCGTTTGTTAGTGACGACATGTGAAGTATATTAGGGATTCCCTTACTATTCCTCAACTCGACTCTTTGGTCGGTGGCAACAGACGTGAGTCTCAAAAGGAGAAGCATCCACAATGCTGCTCCAGACCCTTTGTGAGAGTCCTGCGCTGCCAGCTTCATCAGCCCCTCGTCCCCAGAGTCGTCCATCATGTCTTCGGTAATAGACATGGACGTGCTCTTCCCAGAGAGAAAATCTGAAATGGCCCAGAAAAACGTGACGGTCTGCTAAAGTCAGCAACTAATCTTGTACACGGAGGGATTGACCTGCGGCCTACCG